CAAGGATTGGTTGTCGTTGTCAAATTAATACTTAAAAAAAAAAAATTGTATAAAACTGTCTGTATCATCTTAAATGCATGATTTAATCTGTAGTCTATGATTTACGCCCACTATTAGCCTTCATTAATGATCCCCAATGAATCACAGCTCATATGTCGGAGTTAAGAACTTGAAGGCATCATTCTGGGAACTCAATGCAATAGGACTACACTGAACTTCTTACTTTTTCCACTGTGTGAAATCATTATTTACTACGTCTCAATTTCCTAAGAATAAATTGTACAGAAGCACATCACTAAGAAAACATGTTATGTATTTATGGTAGGTGTACCAAAATAACCAAACTAACATCTCTAGACCTCATTATTTGAGTAACAGCATCCCCTATTGGTCATTTTTGTTTTCAATGCAAGTACTTGAGCAGGGTGACCCCATTTAGTGCCTGCTAACAATTCCAAGTTAACACGAGACATAAAGACAGGTAACAAATCATTTATTATGCTAGACAGATTAAACAAACTGAGCCATGATAGCAGCAATTCAACTATTGGAATATTTACACTATCACATCACACCGAAGATATATGTAACCCTTTACAATGTAAACACATGATACAAAGACATTTTTGAATGCTAGAAAACAAGCCGACCTAGCCACAAAATGAAACAAAACAAAACTTGCTGTCTGCAGCAAATACTTGCTTGTACAATTGGTGGTTGATTTACTGAACATTTTCTAGTTTCCACAGGTGAATGGCAAACAGTCGCTTTTCTCTCAAACACTGTATCGTGATTCAACTGAAAATAAAAGACAAACCATTAGAAATGATTGTCTTTGACATTATTATTCAAAGAATGAAATTTAAAAAAGTTGAGGAAATAGAAGTACACCCTAATACCTAATCATTTCTGTATACAAAAACAAAACAAAACATACTGTATGTGCACACGATCACTCTTCACACAGCCGCCTCTGCTTGGCCGCTGCATGAACTACACCAGAATCTACCTCTGTGCAGTGAAGAACCGTATACGGTTTAAATTCATTATTTTGGACTCCAGCTAGAACTTCTTAAACAAAAGAAAAAGAAAAAATGAGTGTTGGTACAATGATTTGTGAAATACTAAAAAATCTGTCAAGTATACAGTGAGAGGTCTGGACTGCTTGTTCAGAGCAGCAAACGCCATGAGTGTCACCTATAACATGGACGTCCATTGATTCACAACATAAAGAACCAAAGTTGAAGTGTTACTGGTCTTCCTGTATGTGCGTTTATGTGTGTATGTGCACACACTATGGTAAGAGAATGTGTGTTTGTGACTGAGTGTGTTATTGAGGGAATGCCTCGTCTTTCATCAGCATGCGTGGGCTCTCCTGGTTGTCCATTCGATGTCTAGGACCCATCATGCCTATGGGAATAAACAACAGGCTGAATTTCATTAATTCACTCATGCAATATACAAATTACAATGATTTAATTATGAACTTTAACCCTTGAGCATCTCCAGGAGCATGTCTTTGCTATTTTCTTGGTTTCCTGCACTAAAAAATGCATCAAAATCTGTGTCTCGCCCGCTCTCTCTTTTCTGGCAGACCCTCCTTCCTGAGAGCAGCTACCCGTTTTGTAATTTGTTTGGCATCATCTTTGGTTTTGGCATACAACAGTTTGCCCTACATTATGCTCACTCATCCACAGCTACACGACTGATACTGCTGACATACACACTTCATATTGGTATCTTTCCTTAGTTTGGTTTATTTTAATAAAACCACTTAGTTTATTCCGTACCTCGTGTCTTTAAAATATTATTTTGTCATGGCCAAGAGACAGACCATGACACATTGACATACATTTTATAAATGTATTAAAGAACAGTTGTACATGTCCCTGATGCTGACTAATAAAGAAATTCTGATGTAAACAGACTTTAAACAAAGGGAACTTTTTCAAAGTGAGACACAAGGGTTAATTCCCTGATACGTCTGATTAATGCAAGTCATCATAGACGCATAGCTAAGAGACAGATATTATAAACTATTTTGAGAGGTTAGAACTAAGCAATAATCTAAGGAGGAAGTTTTTGGACACAAAGCGGTTTCACTTCTTTACTTTAACATCAAATAATGAAACCACAATGCTGCACTAGACAGCATTCATAAGAAATATGTTAAAAATAACTAGCCTACAATTGAGAAGTAATGAGTATTTGGATACACAAGTACACATAGTACAAACAAAAGAAGAAGTTTAAGGCATTCATTTTCGCTTACTGTTCTTATGCTTGAATGATTTGATCTTCTGGGTGAGTTTGGATTCTGAGGTAGAAAAAGATAAATATCAATTATGCGTTGACAAATCAGAAACCTCTCCATGTGTTTTTATAAATTAAATAGGGATTAGATAATAAAACAATGTAATACTTATTGTTAGAAGAAAGTAAAAGTACCTTATCAGATTTCCTTTTCTTGGCTGTGTAAAAGAAACACATTACATTTAGATTAAAAAAAACAGGGTCATTTAATTTGGGAATATTGACAATCAATTTAAAAAGGAAGTCAAACATAACAGCACTACATCACCTTTCTTTTCTGCACCGTAAGACCAGTCGTTATCATTAACATCATCATTGTCTTCTTGGTCGCTCTCTGACTTGTTGTTGGTGTTGTTACCGGTGACTATTCTGTAAATAGGGAAGAATTAGACACAACACACCTTGTGCACTCAGCATTACTCGCTGCAAAATAACAGTTTGATTAGAATAAAAATACATTATGACCTGAAACCAACTTTAATGTTTTCTATCCTTCTATTTAAGGAAATATACTCAAAGGTGGTGGGGCATCTCCAGTATACATAGATTACAAGTTTGATAACTCAAATATGGTACATATGCACTATGAATACCTTGCCTATTATCATTTTCACATAGTAGTAGGGTGGGTTTTTATTTAGCTTAAAGGACAAATGTGTAAATGTTTCTTTGATTTTAATTTGTCCATTTTACTGTGGTTACCTGTTTATCTCTCTCATACCTGCGGTTGGCTATGCGGCTGCTGTTGCGTCCCATCCCCAGGCATTTCTCCAGATGTGGAGCGAAGCGGGAGGCAGCAATGCTTCGGCTGCAGTTGGGACACACACACTCTTTGTTTTTCCACTGGTTGTACACCTGGCCGAACACATCCAATCCCGGCTGGTCCACAATTCTGGAATGAGAGATGGCAATGAGAGATGTTATAGCCTGAATGCATTGTTATTGACTTTTGTCTTTTTTTTTATGTTGTGTTATTTAAGTGTGACCAAGTCATTGATTTGCAACCTGTAAGGATGCTGACGGATTGGTTCAACAAAATGGATTTGGGGAATTAAGTGTCAAATTGATGGAAAGTGGTAACCTCACTTGATTCAGGAAATGAAGGGAAATACATTCCTTTGTGTTACTCTTTTTAATTATTAGGTTTTTCAAGTCATAAGGCTCAGATCTGAGTAAAGTCATGAGTCATTGGTGTTGAAGTCAGATTTGAATCTTTTTTGATTTTATCATCAAATGTGTGACACAGAGAAAAAGCTATACATTTCCTCTGTTGTTCACAAACATTATTTATGTCACCTTTATTTCACTATAGTAGACTTTGTGCTCACCAAAGTCCCTCATGCTTTCTTGGTCCGTGTCATCCAGGAAGAAATAGCCCTGCTTAACGGCCCGGTGGACCTCGAAGCAAAGACCCAGGCAGGCATCCTCCACCAGGTCAGACAGGATGTCCTGAGCTAGGCCCTGGCAGGAGGGTCGGAGAAAACAGAGGCACAAGTCAGACTGTCTGTTTCCTGCCGTGTGTTTTCAGATGTAATGGGCATTTCCAAGGCTGATTAAACCACCGTCACACAGTGGCTCTGCTCTACTGTACCTCCAGCTTGCTGTTGTCCAGGCTGGACATTGAAACCTCCTCCATTTTCATTTGCCAGAACTACCAGATGAACCGACACTGCTGTGGTCATGCTGTAGCGCAGCAAACATTGGCCAGAACAGGGCTGCAGCAGGAGGGAAACACACAGTTAGCAACACAGCGGCGTTACCCAATGCATGTAAATGAGCGCATGGTCAACATATGATGCCTTGAATGTGATGCAGCTACTTACCACTTGCACGTTGAACACTGCCAGGGGACTCACTTCCCTCGTTTATAACCTGCGAATAACAGAAAACAGAAAATAACTTGGTGTTGTAGCACTGCAATGTCGCAATAAACACACAAACGTGACATTAGCTCAAATTACAAACGCTGCCCATGCGAGCATTGCTGTCTAACGAAGGTAGCTTAGCCAAAGTCTTGCTGGGGAAAACAAAGAGCGTGGCTATGAATAGGCTGGAGGAATTGAAGCATGCCAAGAGGTTACAAGACGCTGTATCCTCCAGGTAAACGACAGCTACATCTACAAACTAAACACATCAAAATGTATCAAACCTGGCTGAGTATTTAGAAACAATATAACACATTTGTAAGTGGTTGAATGGTTTTCTGCTGTTGAAGAATTGCATTTGACCACAGCGAGGCTTGTCCCCGAACACAACACCGCTGCTGCACTGCGGCTGTTCCCCTCTCAACTCCAACAATATGAGACCAAAACGATCGTACGATTGTATCCCATAATACAAAACTACTTACGAGGAAAAATAGCAACCACAGCAACGGGAATTTGCTAATTGTGTTTATTTACCTATTTCGGCAGGCATCCATCTTTACATCAGAGATCAGACAGTACCAATCGATCGCTACACGAGTTCCACCGAGGGCTTCCTTTGCAGCAGTGCTTCTTCTCTGCGTCAGCTCCGATGTGTTTGTTTCATCCAGCGCGACATGTGACTGCGTTACCCCCCTGACATTTAGGGGTTAAATAAGCCTTTTGTTCGGCTCTGTATTAGTAATTATAAACCTTTTTTCCTCTGCACTGGTCGTTTGTGCATTTTTACTTCAACTTAACAAAGGATAATCGAAAAATGAATCACATTTTATTCAACATGTTTATTGGAAAAATCTTATTTCTGGGTTTCACAAACATCTAAAACGGGTTTGTATTAATACAAAAACAATGCTTGACAAAGAAGTTTTGTTTTTACAATCAATAAAAATACAATTCCCAACATCAAATGTAAAATGAGGCAATATGAGAACTGATATAAAACTCCAATGTCGTGTTTTCTCCCTAAACTATTTTGATGCATACATGCAAGTCATTGTTTAACAGTAAAAACAGCATGTGAACACAACACAGGATTAAATTTACATTGATCCCAAAGCATCTTGTTGCAAAGGGACCCTATTTTAACAACAAGCAGTTCCTCAATACAGTACAATGTGGCATTAAAGTCAGTCACTTAATCCAGAATTCGGCTCTGAACTTCACAAGCTCTGTTTCCCATCCCATCACCATCTAAAACATTTCAAATGTGATGTTTTCGTCATCTTCTTCTTCGTCCTATAAAACAACATTAAATATTAATTAAACATCTATGATACAAAAAGTTAAAATAATGTGTTTTTTAATGTGTTCGAACCTCTTCAAAGTCAAACATCTTCCATTCTTGCTCGCTGTTGCTGTCTTCAAACATTTCATCTTCTGAATCCTGCGTGACATAATGATAAACGTGGACTGAATATAGAGCTTGTTTTAAAAACCAAAATGCAGATAGAATTGTTTTTAAATCCTATGAATTACATCATATAATATAAATATCTCAATTATTATGTCTTCTATACTTAAATGACCCAGTTAACCCAAAAATAAGAATTTCCTAACTGTGTACCATTGACCACAAACTTATCCGCATACTTCTGGTAAATTTAAGTGACATTTCAGACAGTCAGAGGGCTTTGCATTGGTGCGGTAAATAATTAATTATAACGTAACGTCTTTCGTTTCAACACTACTTAAACTTACCGATGTCTGTAGGCAAATGGTTCTTCAGTGCAATTTTCACCAAGGTATTTCAATTTCTGAAAAAGAATCATGTAACAATCGTGAAGAAATGTTGAAGAATAGTGTGTAAAGAAAGAAACTAGTACTTGATTACGGTAAGTTCTTACGGAGGGGTTACTGGTCCGATAAGACTCCTGCTGTGCTCTTGACAATGTCTAAAGAATGGAAAATGTGACACATTTTAAAGGACGTTCCAGTATAAAGGTTAAATGTCTAAGATTGAAACAATCAGAACATTAGAACAGGATTCTTCATACCTTAAACCACTTCTGCAGCTTCATCGAGTACTCTTTCATGTTTTCAGTTACATCCTGTATGAAGCAATTCTTGTCTTCATAGGAGAGTTTTCTCCACATTAGATTGACCTTGGTGAATCGCTCCCTTGAGTTTGGATATGTCTCCTTGAAAAGTACCATCTGCTTTTTGCAGAATATTATATTAGCACTGTGAGTAAGGAAAAAATCTCAAATTAGTTTTCCTGCAGGTAGATATTGCAAGTTGTAGAGTTTTAAATATTTCTGGGAATCTTATAAGGAACAAGTGTATGACGATCGTGCTTACTTAGGAGGTTTGTGGGGCTCGCCAGGAATCTTCTTTGGACCTTTTTTAACATCACGCTGCACATAAATGACACATTTTAACATAAATTTGTCAATCAAGTGTTCAGACGTTTACTCCTCTAATTAAACAGAATAAATAGCACATCTACAGGTACTTGGCCTTTGTTCTAACCACAAGAACTGTTCATGAACCAAAAAATAACTTCTCACCTTTTGCATTGGAGTTTTGATGCCATTCTTTTTCAGGATCTTCTGCTGCTCCTCCTGGTCAAAAGTCTGAGCAACAGAAACACCATCGTCACACAAAGTCTGACAGCAGTAGCTCAACTGTAGTCTTGTAAAGGACTCACCTTTAAATATTCCTTCAGCTTAACCGCGTACTCCCTCTTCATCTGAAATAAAAGTATTTATTTCACATTCAAGTGATTTTTAACCAGGATGCTAATGTTTTGTAACACTTTTGTCTGTGTTCCTCCCTACCTGTCTGCAGCGGAAGCTGTATTGTTCCCTCTCTCTGTCAGTCAAGTCTCTCCAGCGTTGGGCCCACACACCGGTGTAGGCATTGTTTGGTAAACCCGTCATGTTTTGCTCTTTGCAGAAAATATGATAGCCATTGCTAATGAAACACAAACACACATACAAACATGTGACAGTGAATAAGCTGCTTGTTAGCCATGTTATCTTGTTTAATTTACCAAAAGATAAGACGTATAGCAAAGTTAAATACATTTGCTGGTTCTCCACTGAACTTCTTCAACTATCATCACAGGCAGGAAACATTGAGCATGCTTTTAACAGAACTAAGTGTAGGTAACAAAAGCTTAAGAAGCCCTGGTTTAAATCAAACGGTAAATGTACTGTCTCTGCCAACACTTATAAAATAACTTAGTTAACCACTACATCTTCACTACCTGCTGCCAATTAGTAACCCTGCGTGTTGTGAGTGTGAGTGAGTGAGTGAGTGAGTGAGTGAGTGTGTGTGTGTGTGGCTTACAATGGAGGTTTGGGAGGCAGGCAGATTGCATCTTCAGTCTGCTCTTCTTCCTGCATTTGTTGGATTCAATTAATTTGAAGTTAATTAATTAATAATAACAACCTTTTCAGCAGTGTTATATGTGACCTTCATAATAACTATTGTCATAGAAACAGTTATTATATGATTATGGTATTCAGTCAGGACACTAACGTTTGTGAACATTAGGTGTGGCTGTTGTGACCATCACTTACATCTGTGCTGTCGTCTGAGAGTTGTTTCCTCTTATTGGGTCTCGATTGTTTTCTGAAATATAAAGAATTAGTTTGACACTGTGTTTAAGCAGGCAGCCTATACTTAATGTGATACATTTATTTGGTAAGTGTATTAATGAATTACTTGAACTCCTCCTTCTTTTTCTTGTATTCCACTGTTGCGAGATTAAACTTCTCCTCATATTGAGCCTGGAAAATGTCAGAAATTCATAATTTAAAAGTGAGACCTCAGATAACACAGAATGAAAGGAAATGTTGTTTATGTTGCCTGTACCTTCTCTTCATCAGGGAGCGCTTGGTACTTATTGGCTAGACGCCTGAATAGCTTTTCTTGACCGATATCTGGGTACTTATTATGATAACTGACCCAGTTCTCCTTGCAAAAGATGGCATTTGGAGGAGTGGGTTTCTTCGGGTGATCTGGGTGAATCTGCAGGAAAAAAAAATAGCTTACTGTTAACTCGCAGAATGAAACATGTAGGGTTACTGGACTTTTAATGTGTTTATTGAAATGGTATTTCAGAAATAACACTGAACAAAGAGAGGTTGTGCAGGGTTTACCTTTGTGTTCATCAAAGGATTGGAAATGACATCTTCAGCTTCAACGAGGAGCTCCGTGAGGGTCCGAAACTTCTGCAACTGCGCAAGAAAAACAAAGATATTACTAAAAACATTCATAAGAGTGTATTTGTTTTAGTTTGATATTTTGAAACACTAAATTGTCAGTTGTGCAGATGACCAACTCCATATGACTCCAATAAAAATACAATTGAAAAACAATATGGTGTTTTCACTACCTGTCTTTTTTATACGCACACATTTGAATTCGATATATATACATAGATATATATAATGTGTATAAAACCCCCCTTCAATTAATCCGAACTATCTCTTTAAGATTTGAGAGTCAGCTGGGCGACTCCATCGGCTGAAGTACATTGTATGATATAAGTAAAAGTCTTGAAACAGCTACTATGTGATGACACTGTTTTATCAACTTAAAGGTCCCATGTCATGGCCATTTCTACTGATCATAATTCCATTGTTGAGGTATACTAAAATAGATTTATATTGTGCAATTTTCCAAAATCACATTGGTTTCTCATACAGCATCTCTGTATAGTATGTGTATTCACTCTCTGTCCTAAACGGCTTGTTGGAGCTCCTGCCCCCCCCTCCCTATGAGCCCAGTGGCCGCCTGCGAGACAGCAAGACACAGCGAAACCCGCCCGAACACACACACACACCGACTCACAGCCTCGCCGCGTCCCGCCGTCTCAGGGAGGAGAAATCGGCGGAGCTGCAGCTGAGAAAAGATTGAGTGTGTGTGTGTGTGTGTAACATAACGGCTCCAGGGATTGGTCTATTTGGACCAATGGGTCCATTTGGGTATGGGCACGTCACTGTACCCAGGAAGAAAACAATGGAAAAAGAGAAATCTCCAACGAGGCGTTCTGGGGCAGCATAGACAGGTATTTTCTGTGTTAGAGTTTTACTCTCTACAGGGTGTACTTTGAGGGTTTGTGACTCTGCAGACCGTTTACATGCAGAAAAAGCTACATAACACACAAGGGGACGGGTAATAACCAGAAAAGCATAACATGGGACCTTTAAACTTTAGGATTGAACTGCGACTCACCTTCTGCAAAATCTCTCCCCATTTCTTTTTGCATGCTTCAGGAGTGAAAGGATCGAAAGCCACTTCTTTCCAGTCCACATTTTTCAGTGCTTTTAAATATGTGCTCTTTAGGTCTTTCATTAGGATGCTGGTTTTCATTACAGCAAGAAGCTTCTGGGTGTCTTTCTTGGTCCACTCTGTATCTGTAGCACAGGGACAAAACAAAGTTGAATCATTAGAATGATTAAGATAAGGTGAAGGATAAAGGGAAATAAATCAATGTGCCTAAACTTCCTTATCTTACCTAGGTTCCTGTCTCTTGTGATTCATATGTATTTTGTGTAACTCTTCATAGTATATGACATATTAATTTAGATTATTTACCTTTCTCTTTTTTTAAATATGCTTATTTCTGATATTGTTCCAATCTAAAAAATACAATCATATCCATTATATCTGTGAATGTAGGCTACATTAATTTCATATTATAATTATTCAATATAAATGGGAATGAGCATTGACAACAATATACTCCATGTAATTGTTTCTTTGACTCACAACACATATTTGAAATCATCTTTAAAAGCTTTGACAAGCAGGTCATCATGCAAAGTAAACGTCTGTTACTTCTTCAGTGCTTTGTGCAATCTAAGTTGAGTCATGTGAAATAAAATATCTATTTAATTATACCCACCAGATTCTTCAGGCACAGTTGTCGTCCCACTCATCTTTCCAATAAAAAGTATTTCCAATTCTTTAGGTCACTTGATGCAAAGCCTTAGGTCGGTCCAAGTGACTGTGGGGAACTCTACAACACAGGCTAGTTAGCAAACATATCAAAATTAGCTTCAAAGTTTATTACAAAGAGGTAGCGAGGGTAGCGTATTGACCCTAAATCTATATTAGCGGTTTTTTGTCGTTGCGTCAGGAAAAAAACACCCCATGGAGCTAAAAAGAAACACATTCACAATTTGTGTTTTTTCACCAAAAGCATGTTAGATGTCTCCATTTTACAGAGGCGGGCCCAACCATCAGAAACTAACATCCTCAAAGAACAGCCAATGAGCTTACTAGGTTTCTTCTTCGTGTTTTATAACCGGATGTTAAGCGTTCAAGCAGCGTTGATTGAACAAATCGCCACCTATTGTGTCGGAGGGTGATTGCGTTTTGGTGCAAAATAATAATACAAGAAATATAACGGATATTTGTTTACTAGCTGAACTTTTATCTTTATATCTTGCCTTAACTCCGCTCCCTCTCTTAAAATCCCCATTTTAATTGATCTTCTACCATCAAGGGCAGAACTCTAAATCCTCACCAACTGTGCAGTTATGTAGGTACATTTATTTATTGCTTGTAGGTAAAGTATAGTATTTCATTGTATTGCAAAGGCATGCATGCCATCAAGTACTCCATTTGTTTCTGCTGTCAAAGGCATGTTGTTTCTTTGCTATAGCTTCAAGCTTTCAAAGTAATATAGTATCATCAGAGCATTTACTTGGTCTCATGTTTCCCTTAACCCAAGAAAGAAGCCACACCAAATGAAACTAAGTTGATAGGTCTTTTGGGAGGTAGTCTTTATTAGAGAGATGACAATAAGACAGCAACATGACACACAGTATAAACTTAACAAACACAAATTCACCATTTTATCTCTCCCTGTACTGCGACACAGTGTTGTTGCTCTATAGTCTATAGTGTTACCAGTTTGATCCTTCTGGCTAAAATATCTACATTTTGCTTGCAATGTTACTTCATAAATCATATATTACTTAAAGGTGGGGTAGGTAAGTTTGAGAAACCGGCTCGAGATACACTTTTTGTTATATTCCATGGAATGCTCTTAACATCCCGATAGCAATGAATATCTTAAGTGCTTTGACAAAAAATCCATTAAAAAATGTCATCTGTGGAAGCCGTAGTACTGTAAAAAGTACGACCAATCATTTTAGCCGGCCCGGCTAAAATAACTGGATGGCCTACCTGCCTGTCAGCTTTCCATCTGTGCACAAACTTATCTCGTGCCCTCATTGGTCATGTGCGCGTTCGTGTGTGTTGGAGGAGGCGCTCTGTAAGGAAGTGGCAGATTTTTTCCGGCTGTGTATTTTCAAATTCTAGCGATCTCGAGCTGGTTTCTCCAAAATTACCAACCCCACCTTTAATTCAAATTTGGATTTTACAAGCATGAAGAAAGTGAGTATAACAATAACTTAAGTGGCACATGTTACAACATTACATTCAATGTTGAAGAACATATTGGCTTTTAATACTACAATATTTTTCACTTAGCGTCCAATATTTAAATGTTTGTGTCCCTTTAATATGATTTCAGCTTCAGTAGTATGCAAAGCACAAGCTTATAGAAACAAAACAACATAATGCAAATAAAGTACCTGAGCGACCTGAGCGCAAATAAAGTACCTGAGCAAAAAAAGTACCTGAGCGTTTTTATACAAGATATCAATGTTCATAAAGATAGATTCTATATCTGCATTTTTCATTAGAAAAAACTAGTTTGAGCTCATAAGTAGATGAAAAATGTGAGCCACATAAAAAATAAATATATATTTTTGTTAAAATAAAATGATTGCTGGCATGCTATAGCTGTCATGGAAGACATCTACAATGGCATCTGAGATTCACAGTATACATCCCGCCCCGGCTCCTCCTCAAAGGTCACTTTGGCGCCTTCAGCATCCAACTAAAAACAACAGATACTTTAGTGCTTGATTCTGTGTATATCTGCATAAATGTGTTCAAATGACAGGAGTTTTCCACTTACACATTTCATCTCCAGTTCAGTGAAGAGGCGGCCGGTCATAAACATGCGCAGAGGGATGGTGAGGATGAGCATGAAGGGAAGTGCGAGGGATACTGGACTGGATTTAACAATCCACAAAAGTGCAAGGCACACGATCTGGATGGCCGTAAATAAGTGCATTCGTCCTGTGCTCACCTGTAGCCAAAATGTAAAAATATTAATCAGTTAGAAGAGTCTGCACCCACAAATACTTTTTGTCTTCTGGTATAATTCAGCGGCTCTTATAGTGAGTTGATATGAGTACATGAGTACATGAGTTCTGCTAATCTTAACACCATTCAACGTGGTGCCAAAAGTAATACGTTTTTAGTTGATGTCCTCTTGTGAAAATATGGCTAATTTTCCTAATATTTGGGACAGAAATTGGTTTAAAAATACGTGTTAGTTGTTAGTCATATGTTTAAATGTAAAATATATTAAAATGGGATATTAACTCTAAATACTAAATGTAAATGTTGAACATAAATCTAAATCTAGGCTAATATTTTAGAAAGTATTACTCTGGTGGCGTAGGGTTCGTCAGGGTGGTATTTCTTGGGGATGAGTAGAAGCAGCATACGGTCCCACAGCTGGATGCCATTGAGTGATGTGACTCCCATGTAGAGAAAGATCCCAAACAAGGCCGACATGGGAATCATCTTTAGGATCGGCTCCATCAGAATGGACAGACCTAGACAAAAATAGATAAAGTGTGTTTTTTGATAATTACAATTAAAACATAATTTTGTTACAGGCTTCAAAATAGTTAACAGTATTAAGTAAAGTATTAACATTGAATAAGATAAACAAGTAACCAACAACAAAACAACTACCTAATGGAATGAAACAAAATAAGGAAGAAGTATAACAGATAATAAATGAAATAAAACTTAAGAGAGGTTGTGGTTGGTACGATGCCTTTCGAGTCTTAAAAAATTGACATTTTACGCCAAGTACATACTGTTACATACTGTATACATGCAGGTTATTTGAAATCTGAATTTAAAAAGGGCATCCAGAGCTTTGAAGTTCATAATGCAACCTCCTCTTTGCATTAAGTTAATTAGATCATTGTGTAACTTTTCTTTTAATGACAGGGGTTGGATTTTAGGAGAGTTGTAAAAAAGTACATGGATGATTGGACACCTACCAATAAGCAGCGCCACCAGAATGCCGCTGACCCTCTGCTCATTCCAATCTCTCCAATAACAGGTTTTGTCCCTTGCTCATGACCGTGAGGGCGTTGGGTGGATGGACAGAGCGAAAACCGTGTGCAGCAGCATGAGCCACGGACACACCAAAAAGTTTGCAGCGAGTCCATCCCACTGCCGACTATAACCAGCAAGTCAAAGTGGAACCCGTGAGGCCTTTCAATCCCATCTGTCCTCTCACAGGCTGACTCACAATCAGACTGTCAAGCAGATGAAGTCAGGTTTAGTTTGAAAACAGGACATGATATGTGTTTTCTCAGGTTTGATAATTCGGTGAGTGATCGTTGTTGTGGACAAGCGATGACTCACGTTGTGAATCTGTCGACTCCAGGAAGATCAGAATTAAGACGAGTAGTAAGGGCCGGACGGCAGCATGCAAACATCAACCACACAGGGAAGGCCTGGTGCTCTCCGAAGGGGGTTGATGAGCCAGCCTCTTTTGGACGGGTTGGACACCATGAGACCTTTGGGAACCGCTAGTTTCTGTTAAGAAAAACAGTTTTTGATGAAATCTTCCATGTTTTAAAGGATATTTTCACAATTTGTCTATGTTTTGCAAATATAAATGTGCAGTGAAACCTGTTCACCTTAATCAAGACATGGGTTATACTGTATTAGCCTAGATACATTTTTGCTTAGAGAGAGAACGATGGATTTTGTACAACACTTAAATTGACATAACATTATGATTGTATCTTTTGACGCGCAACTATGGACAGGAAGAATGATTACAGCAGCAAAATCAATTTATTTGTGTACCTAACTAATGTTTTAGTGGTTAGTGTGAAGCTATAATATACTACATTTAAGCTGAATGACGCAGGTTTTCAGTACATCAACTGGCTTTGGAAACTTAGACTGATGGACCAACCTTAGTGTAGGTATCATCAATGTTGTAGTCCAGGAGAACCATGAGGAAAATGGCAATGGGCACACCAAAGTCACCAAGCAAACGTCTGACCTGTTTGAGAGTTAACAATTTAATTGAATAGCCAATAAAAATACACGACTTGTTCATTCAACTGTAAATGAATTAGTAAAATGCTAGCCTGTGGACAAGACGTACCTTTCCATGCAGAAAAGTGCCTTCTTGAACTGGCGTAGGAAGTAAGCGATGAAAGAAGCAGCCTAACATGAGGCACATGGAGAGTAGGGCTGTGTTGGGGTAAGACGGCTTAATAATGTTGACAACAACAGTCGTGTTCCCGGGTAGCGTTGTCATACATGGCCATCTCCTCCACCTTTGGGTGCCAGGGATTTTCTACAGTTGTATTCACATGATCGTAATTCAGAATGAGCGGATGAGCCTTAAAGGTCTTGAAGAGAGGTCAAGAGAGAGCAGATTATATCTAAGACAAACTAATAATGACAGAAAGGAAATGTATTAAATTCCATTTGGACAGATGAAATGTGTGACATGGATGAAAATGGTTTACCCTTCCTAGCTTGGAAATGTTTCATAGATGAAAGATGAGGGATATGAGGATGGAGAAGATTTCCTGGGTGAAGCGGGAGATGAAACACACCAGGAAGCTGCCCTCAAAGGCCACACTGACCGACCACACGATGATGACCAACCACACGCCAACCCACACTCTCCCCACAATGTACTCAATGTCCTGAGACTTGCAGAACTGAAAGAAGGGGCAATGGGAACCAGTTGAACTTAAACAAACATCAATCATGGGAAGTGGTATTCGAAAATGTAATGTTTATGGGATCATCACAGGATTCAGTGGTATAACTTACAACAAAGAAGGCCTCCTCAAACACTAACAGAGGACCAGAGAACCCGATGACCAGGACGGGCTGAGCAGCAACGAAGCAGAAGATGATCCCCTGAATGCTGGTGGAGATGAGGAGCTCTGAAACGCCCATCATGTTGTCCACCTTATCAGCTGTAGTCGCAAAGATGACAACATAGTATTAATATAGCCTTAAATGTTAAATACACAAAAGGATAAACAGGGTAGCACACACACAGTTCTTCAGGGAAACATACTCAGTATATTTTCATCACAATTTTTCTCTGGCCTTGTCAAACAAACATGCTAATGTTTTGGCCCCTGGCCTTGATCAGAGCATGAAGGAGAATGGAAGTCATGTATTTTTATAAAGGAAATGGCAGGTGATTAGTTTAAAGTGTCACATGGTTGTTAACACCCTTAGGTCCCATTTACACCTTTTTGACAATATGACAATGATAAAAGCAGGTCAAATGAAAATATGACATCATTTAAGAAGTCTAACATGAGGGCAATGTTACTTGGCTGTGGCATATTTGTTTTTCCTAATGACACACAATGCTCTGTTCAAGGAACCCAGACCAAAATGTTGCCATGTTTAGATGACACGAGCATTATAATTGTGATGATGAAACGGAATTAGTAAATTTGTCCAGATTATCTGTATGTGTGTGTGTTTTTTACCATTAGATATTAAACATTGGATTTCTATGAACCACACACAATTACTTGAAAGGTGTATCTTATGAAAGAAAAAAAACATATCATATACATCTTAAACCATGCAATAGAAACACGAGGTCTCATACAAATGCAATTACTATCCACACATACCCAGCAGTCCTCCGAAGGTAATGGTAGGAGTCAACGCAGCAAAGTAAATGAAGATGACTGCAGCAAGGACCTGGGTGTTAAATGCATCTGTGATGTCACTCTTGTAGTAATGGTAGCGCCTCTTCATGTCTCGTATCATCCCTCCAAATGGGCGACCAGTACGGGACAGTGGGTCTTCAGGTGGGTTACCAGCACAAAAGGAAACTGTAGGGAAAAAACAATGTTGATTTTGTTCAACTCTGATACTGGAGTTA